GAGAGAGAGAGAGAGAGAGAGAGAGAGAGAGAGAGAGCTATCAATGGTCACTTACATCTGAAGTTTTTGTACGCTTTATGCTTAAGATGTGCATCACTTGTGGTATATTTGATGGTATTATTGTCGGCCTTAGTGTCGGCTGTAGTGTTGCGTTGGATGTCATCGTTGGGAGCGTTGGGCCACGTGTTGGCACGAGTGGCGCCCGTCGTGTGTATTGCGGCCACACTATTGCCATCACTGTTGACATTATGACCGCATTTGGGATACAATTGCCGACAATTATCGGCACGTGTTTTGCCGCCCAATAGTACTGAACGCCACAAACGGCAACACATTTGCCGCGAGTTTACCACCGATGGTATGTTGACTGTCACTTTGAACATGGTCTATTTGATGTCCACTTATGCACTCTTGGTATTGTCTGTATAGTGTATTAACTCGTTTATAGTGAACCTCTGTTTCCACACATTAATTGTTTGTTGTGTTTATGTTTTGTTTTTATTAACACATGTTTTGCGTTTACATTACATCAGATACGCTATCCGTTCGTATATAACGTTACGCTCTTTTTGTATGTTTTTGAAACCCCCGGAGTTTATTAACATTTAATTCGTTTATTTCAGTGTTTTATTAAATGATCAAGTTAGATTTATTTGTATATTAAATTATAAACACAAGTTACAATGTTCTATACATTGTAGTATGCTTGTAAGCTTGTCGAATTAATTGATTTTACCGGTATTAAACATGTATTATTAAATATTATAATAGCTATTGTAATATAGTTAAAGTATAATAAATAATTTTTCAATCAACTGTTTAATTGGTTTAAAAATTTGACTTTTATTTAATGAAATCAATTCGTGTGTTAATTAACAAAATGTGTTTAAATGTGTATATAATCACAAATGAGTCACAAATAAATTAAAAACTTTTCCCGATTTATGATAACAATCGAGAGTAAGTTTTGTAGACAATAACATTTGAATGCATTGTTTTCTATATAAATTGGCAATAAATTAGTTAAAAATTACGATTTTTTACATATTAATTACAATTAAAATTTAAAAACTCTTGTATTGAGAGAGAGAGAGAGAGAGAGAATTGTTTGCACAGAATTTGGCACATATTCTGTATGCGATAAAGTTATGCATAATTCGTATGCGTTTTTGCATAACATTNGAGAGAGAGAGAGAGAGAGAGAGAGAGAGAAAGAGAGAGAGAGAGAGAGAGGACGGGATGATTGATAGGGAAGTAAGACTAAAATAATAAAAACAAAATTCACAAATAATTAAATAAATAATAAAATTAAACGAAAAGCAATTGAGGAAAAAAATAATAAAACAAAACAAATAAAACAAGAGTTTTAAACTTATTTTTGGAAATAAAAACAAACAAAAAACTGATTTTATAAATCATTAATAATTGAGTGCATTATATAATTAAGTTATACTTTTGAGGTTTATATCAATTTGTCATTTGGGATAATCTGAATAAAAAATGTCATTAATTAATTCACATAGATTTCGAGGCCATCACTGGAAGCACTGGGTGGCGGCCGCGGCCACCGCTGCGGCCGAGTTGGCCGACAGCCACAACAGCCGACGCTTCTTATACCTGTTTAGCCATCCGTTGCTGGCCTTAAAGTCCAACACATTGAGACTTTTGGCCACTTCTTTGGCGATGTCTTGCAATAACGAACCGGTGATCGATATGCCGGCCATTAGGCACTGGTCCACACGACGGGTCAACTCTTCCTCCACATCGCCATACTTTCCTTCGCGCATACGTTTGCGCTTAACGTTAGACTCATTGGCCATATATTTGTCCCGATTTTTCAGTATTGTGTTGAGGTTTGAATAGTCGGCCAACGAGTACTTCTGGAGCACATCCAGCCGTTTCATACCGGCGTCGATGTCTTTGATGATCTCGATCTTGTCCTCAATCGATATCGACCGGCGTTTCTGTTTATCGGATCCCACGGTTAGCGTCAGGTCTAGTATTTCTGTATTTTAAACATAAAACGGTATTTATTAAACATTTTTAAAACTAATTTTAATAGAAAGTGTTAATGCATTCATTGATTATTTAAATAAGTTTTTTTTAAATTATAAAACACTTCAAATCAAACACATAAAGTCTGTGGCTATACCTGACGGGCACTGAAACTCCTCATCACCGCTGCCACCACTCCCGGAGCTGCCAAACAATAACCTCTCGTTAAACGACGAGTCATTGAAAAGCTTATTGAAGGCGTTGTTGTTTAACAAATTCATGTTTGCCTCAAATGGGGGCAAATGATGATCACGACCGGCAGCGGCGGCCACATAACTGGCGGCGCCGACCAGCGCTTCAAACGGCGGTATATGTTGTGCGGACACGGGATGGTGTCCACCACCCACTGCACCGTCCACTACATCCACGCCATCGCTGTGATGAAGATCGTCGTCGCTGTGATGGTGAGTGTTGTGCTGACCAGCGGTGAGCTTCGGGCCGCCGAACCCGCGGACTCGCTTCAGTTTACCGGACTTGCCGTTCA